TAATAGCAGAATCTGTCGCCGATATATACACTCAACATTGATGAAATAATTATAGATTTATAGTTTTTTTTTTGTATTATTCTGACACATTTTAAGTTAGTCACTGTAGTTTCTATTATACAAATTGTATATATAGTTTCACAGTTTTATTTAATTTTTTTGCACAATTCTTGGCACCAGTTCCAAAAAAGTTGGATTTTGTAATAGCATAAAAAAAAATAAGGCTGTAAAACTAAATTATTTAACATGTGGAAAGATTCAAGACTGTTCATCTAAAAACCTATACATTGTTATAAGTTAATATTGTTTTTCGTAAATATGCCTCTCACGCACTCTTTGATAGTGTCCTAGAACCTAGCATTATATATATTTCATTGTATGATATTTATTACTATCAAACGAAATTTGTATGTTATTCCTTTTGAACACATTCATCCATCTGTAGTTCTTCATCTGTGTATACGTTTCGTGTGGGAAGTCACACTCTGAAAGATGGAACAAAATATGACGTAGAAGACGTTATAGTACATGAACGCTACCAGCCCAGTCAGAACTATCACGACATTGCTGTTTTGAAAGTTAAAGGAGAAGTCAGCCTGAATGATAAAGTCAAACCAGTCTGTTTACCTAAGCCTTCCTTTGTTGGTCAAGACTTTAAAGGAAGAGAGGTTACTGTCACAGGCTGGGGAGATACGTTTTATGGTGTGTTTGATGTTAAAACTTATTTAATTTTAAGAACCGTTGATTTACTTTAATTCATCATTAGATTATTTATTAACTTACCCTTCCAAATACTGGATGAAAAAATCAATCAATACATTTAAATTAAGAAAATAACAGATTAAATATAAATGACAAAAATAGTATAATTTACTCTATTGGCCACTTTAATAACGTTTTATAAAGACGTTTAAGATCAAATGTTATAACATACTTTAGTTAAGTAGCACTTGTTGTGTTTACGAAATACAGTATCGTGGTGTTTCTTAAATAAACTCTTCGTCAATACTTCTTTCTGTCGAGATCGTATTTTAATAGATTTACTACTAGAAAATTACCCACATAATATTTGTGGTAAAGAAAGACTGTAAGTACAACAGAAAACTGGTTTTACCAAAGATTATGACGTGTATTTTCACATTAGTAGGTTTAATTTTGCTCAAGTTATAATCAAATATATATGAAGTATCTCCATTGAAATCAGTTTACTTCTTAAGGCTACAGGTTACTTTAGAAACATGTAAATATTTTTTTTTTTCAGGAGGTACGAGAAGTAAAGTACTTCAACAAGTTTCCATCCCTGTTGTATCGAACAAGGAATGCAACAACTCGTATTCAAAATTAGCGTTGTCGAAGTATCCACAAAGTATCACTAGAGGGCAGATCTGTGCTGGATTGTCTGAAGGAGACAAAGATGCATGTCAGGTATTAATTACCTTCTTCTGAGATAAAATATTTAATAGGTTGTAATTTTATTCTCCAAAGCTTATGGGTACTTTTAAGATACGATAGAACAGATGTGCTGTGGCGCTCTACACTGCAAATCACCATATTTTTCGTAATTGTAGCTATTGTACTTTTCTTGATGTATTTGGTCATTGCCCAAAATTTTAAGAATCTTCTTAGGTGCGTGATGAAATACAAAATTCACTTAATCATCATCTATACATTTTTGTTAGCTGAGAGTAATAGCACAGAAACTAGTATGTTGATGAAATTTAAATGTTCTAGTAGGCATTAAAATAACGATTATTTTAAAGTGTTATTCCATTTTACATATTTCAGGGTGATTCTGGAGGACCTCTGGTACTAGAAGAAAGTGGACGATAGACACTAGTGGGAATTGTGTCATTTGGCTTCAGCTGTGCTCAACCAGGGTATCCCGGAGTTTATACTAGGGTTTCACACTATATAAGATGGATTGCTGCAAACACTGACTTAGGAGAATAGTGATCTTCCATCGTTTGAGTATTAGCTTCACTGTTATATTGTAGTATTTGTATCTTTATTTTGAAGAGTAAAGCTTTCTTTCCTGATCGTTTTTAGTTATTTGAGTTTCTCTGTTTTAGTAAAGTTCTTTGGCGCAATAATGTTATTAGTACTTTAATGTAAACATTTTCATGAGATCCAATTACTTGATCATTCCTGAATAACTTACTTCGACTAGTCTGGTGTCATGGCAGTCATTCACAAGCAGACGTTTACTCACATTAATCTAACTACTTATTAAAGGTTTTTTTTTCTCCCGATTTTTGACTAACACTAATCAGTGGAATTTCTATAAAAAAAAAGTTATTTCTATAATTAGAAGTTAACAGAAACCTCGGACACAACTGTTCTTCTTCATTTAGACATGGATGATCTCTGAGAATAAATTCATTTAGATAGGATATTCACAAAGAAGGTGAAGTAAATCATTTGTGTGATCTGTGTTTGATTGCATTACTACACGTAACTACATTTATTGTTAGAAAACTGTTTGGCCTGTTACTTTT